TATTCATTCTCGATAAGAAATATTTTTGAATTATACAGGATAACAATATTCATCGTAAAAACATACCTTGTGTAAGCACAAGTGATTTATGATTACTTCTCAATAAATTTAATTTAATTTTTGTTATTATATCGCATCCAGAACAGAATAATCTTACGAGGACGGAAAATTTATTTATTATTGTAGCAATCGTGAATCCTAGTCCCGTTACATTTCTTCTTAATTTCTTTTCATTTCTGTTTCTTGCATTCAATAAATAATTCATCAATAGGTCATTGACTTTCGTCCCATAAAAATTGAAAATCATTAGACCACCTCCAATTATTCTCAAGAATATTATTCAGAATTGTATCATTTATTAGGTTTTAATTATAATTTAAGTATTAAAAATTTTTTTAAAATATCTATTTTTGTTATCTAAAGTTTCCACTATATTTCTTTTTTATCTTATTGAAATTTTAAATTCGAACAATTTACTCAACTACAATACCAATAATAAATTTGTTGTTTAATGAGAAAACAAATATTATTATCCCAGACCCTATCAAAAAATCTCGAATTTCATTTATCCTATTAATCGTATCATTTTATTTATTATTGATTGTTCGTAATGTATCGCGCCACATTTTTTATTACTTCGTGAATTAGTTCCTTAAGTATTTATTTAAAAACTAATTTGCTCATTTATTTTTATCTTATTTTTATAATTAATATTTTTGTTTCATACTTGGTTAAATTACTAATTCTAATAATTGTCTATAGTTATTTAGAGAACCAATTTTTCTAACGTTTCCGTGTAGAAGGTAATTCTCTTTTTTGAATTTATGAATTATCTTTCTTGACTTAATCAGTAATTTATTTCATAATACAAAAATATACGAGTAATTTTATTTTAAATATTTTTTGTTTTAGTATTTAGTAATTAATCAAATTAATTTTAATACATACATACATTTTTAATAATTTTATAATTTATTCATCCTGTAAAATTAAAAAATGTTCAATGATTTAGATTTACATTTTATATCACCGTGACGAGTCTTTACATATTGTAATTTTAAATAAATTCAATTTATTTTATTTGTCTACTATGATTCAGTAATAAATTATTCGATGAAAAATATAGATTAATATATAATGGGAACTTTTCTTGCAATATTATCGCTCACACTTCGACATTCTACTTTCGCATATTATTGACATATCCTGATATTCGTCAGCTTCATAACATATTTATAAATTTATTTAATATGTCAATGAGCTCTTTCTGCTTCACATCATAAATTCTTCAAATTATAACTAATTTTCTCCTATGTATAACCAAATTACTCAATTTAAATGAATTAGGCTATTTTACAATTACCATATATTTATTATAGATTTATTTATTATAGAGGACAATTTTAATGAAAATATAATAATTATAATAATAAAATATATTTAAACATAATCGCATTTAGTAACCCATTGAACTAAAATCTTTCAGTGAATCGTTAAAGATTTTCTTTAAAAAATGCTTTTTCAATTATTTTACAGCGATTCCTCTATTCTTAAAATATAACGCAAATATCTACGACAAAAATTTTTCAATCTTTTGTACATTTCCTTTTAAAGCCTTAACGCACATTATCATATACAGAGCCAAGTTTTTTGCAGCATTGAACTCAATAACTCATAATGAATTTTAAATTACACGATAGAAATTTAATATTTTCAAAATTTATCAAAGCTTTTATATACATTTTACGGCTATTTTTCTCACAATTCGATTTTTTCATTCATTCGTATAATTACCATTGTTCTACTTTAAAATATAAAGATTTTCCTAGAGTATTACGATTCAGATATACGGCTGTCGAAATTATGCATCGAACAATCCAGGAATGATTTTTTTTTTTTAGAAAATTGTACTAAAGTTAGAGTTAAAATTACCATCTGATTTACTATATTTATTAAATTCATTTCATTTAATTTCATTTTTGGATTCTAAGTATTGATACTAACGAATGTTTAATGTTTATACCCCTAAAGTTATAATATTTTTAATATTAGTAACTTATATTACGCATTAATTTTAAACATTTAGATTATTTTTAACATCGTTTATATGAATAAAGCAAGATTTTTATCTGACAAAGCTTAAAAAAAATGTTCATTCAATGATATTAAATAATATTTTACATATATATTTTATACTTTCAATCAAATAAAAAATATAAACTTGAAATTGTATCCTGAACATGGAATTTTTAAAAATGTTTTTATACTATCCTAATTATCAATATATAATATTGTGAATTTTTCTTTGAAATCAATAATTAAATATTTATATCTCAGTAAGAAAATGTATAAGTATTTTCATCGGACTCATTTACGAAAATAAGATTAATATTATATATAATAATAATGATTATTATTGTTAATTAAATGTTCTTATTGAAATTTTCAATTTTTACAACAAATACTTTTGTAACTTGGTTAGGGAGTTTATACAATTGACCTCATATTATGTAATCATTGCAGACAATTTGGCGGGCACATCACATGGAACAGCAATCATATCAATTAATAAATGATAGTTCATTCGTTACTTACAACTGCATACATCGAAAAACGAGCTTCTTATTTAAAAATTTGAAAATCTATTTTTTAAAATGATTATTGATAATTAAATTTATGATTCATTATTATTAGAATATTCATTTTCAAATCGCAAACTATGATTTTTTATTAATATGTATTCAGTGCTTTTTTAATTGTGCAGTTAAAAATTATATCTAAATATTATTCAAATATATCATAAAAATTTCGGGTACGTTAATATTTTAGATAATATTAACTATTTAGAAATTTAAGTATTTAAAGAACTTCTAATATTGAAATTTAGAATTCATTTGAATGTAAATTTTTTTCATTGCAATTGAGAAATTTGTGCGTTATTAAATTTATAGACATCGAGATATTAGTTTTTATTTTTAATGAAAAGTACGGAAAATACTTTTATACAAATGTAGATAACAATGCATTATAAATAATATTATATAAATGATAGAAAGCCAAATGTTGATTAAGAGACTAAGAGGACATAAGAATACTAAAGCAATAACGATAAATTTACATTAATAATTAGATTTAATGAAGTCTTAATAATATTTATTTCTAATGTTTTACAATATACAAAAATTTGTCTCATTTATTTCAATAAAATTACAAACATGGATAACACTTACTAATCTAAACGAACGACGGTAAGCTTTTAAAATGAAATTTTTTAATATGTAATCTATATGCATTTTTATAAATAAATATTGTACAATTATTTAAAAAGCAATAAAAAGTCGTCAAGCTTTTAACGGTGGAGGTGTTTACTTTTTCAGAAAAACATTTCGTCTATATAGAGTTATGTCAATTATCATTGATTACCCAAAATTAGAATTATGTTAAATAATATATAGATTAAATGAAAAATGATAAATAAAAAAATACCATTTATCCTTATGTATTTATGTAATTGTACGTTGATTCTTAAAAGTTATTATATTAATAAAAATATTTCAAGTTAATGATTGTTTTCAATTAATATTAAAAAATAATGTTCCACGCAAATTCTCTTTTGACGCGGGAGAAGCTTGAAAATATAATAAATTTTAATATAAAAATGTTATAAAATTAACTCAATTTTACAAACTATAATAATATCGATTATTAATACATACAAGTTTTTTTTGTTAATATAATACGGTAACGTATATGATAGTTTTTGCATAAGTTGTTTATTATATTGTATACTTAAATATAGTTCAATTCAAATATTAAAATATACAAATTAAGTAAATGTAGCTTTTACTATATCTCAATACAATTTTCTGTTTAGAATTTAATATTTAAAATTTTTTTCTATTTATTAAATATCCCATTACATACAAATACAAATCTTTCACTTTTTTTTTTTTTTTTTTTTTTATTGAGTTAATAAGGAGTAATTACCAGTTAGATAATTTGGTTTTCACTTACGCAGTGCTTTTATTTTTCTTAAAATTTGGTATAATTTAATTCAATTCTTTCTTTATATATTGGCATATTATTTCTATTTTATACCAGTATTTTTTAATATATATTTCACGATATCACAATTTATATTTTCTCATATTTGAAATTCGTCAGCTTACAATAATAATAATTCCATCTGTAATGTATATTATAGATTGTGTACGAAGTTTTCAAGAATAACACTTCTTGGCAGTAAATACTGAGACTAGTATTGGTAGCTTGTAAAATCAATATTAATTTTTATATTATATATATATATATATATTTATCGAATTTTTTACATCTTAATTTAATGAATTTTACAAGAATATAATTTGTAAAATATAGTTACAAGATAGTAATTGAAGTAATACGATTAAAATAGAATATTTTAACTGAATAACGTTTTGTTTTAATATAACTTTTAAAATTTGTTATATTTTTAATGACTATATTTTCATGAATTACTACTAAATAATTACTTGTTATATATTTTTAAATATTATACTGAAAATCATTGATTTAGTTGTTTATTTGATTAGTTTGTTGTGTTTATTCGGGAAGATGGTAGAGTTTTGTAATAATATGTTGGTCATAAGTTACAATATATGAAATACTAAATTACCTCAACCTATTGAAATTTTGGGATAAAGTATGCATCAATTAATAATTTTAAATTATTCATCTTAATTTTAAAGTATATTCAAGCTTTCTATAATTCTGGAAATCCTTTCTACTATATTACAATATATCAATAATTAATACTTTTTCCCATTATTGAACATGCAACTGTGTTAGGTTGAAAATATTTATTTCTTATGTCACGAAGTCACGACATAATGTTAGTTTATACTCTGTAACTAATAAAATATTAGAACGTGATGCTTTTTAATTTATTTATAGATAGTAGAATTTATAAAAACGAACTATTAGGCGTAATTATAGTAATATAATTCTAATTATTCATCGTTATGCATTTTATTGTATATGTTTGTATCTTTATTATTGGATTTGCAACTTTCATAGTTAATGGGGCAGCTGTAAGAATACTGAAATTTTTCTCATGAATTATTTTCATTCAAAAAGCTTATTAACGGACTAGATCAACAATTAAAAATAATCTCACAAAGTTATAATTAAAGTAGATGTATAATTAGAATTTCCAATTAAAAAAAAAAAAGAAAAAGTATTAATAATAATATATTAATAATATATAAACATTTTTGTGAATACCATTTAATGGATAGATATTATATTTTTGTTTAGCACTTATTAAAGTAAATCTTATTACACACAAAATCCGTTCCAAACATTTTGATTATATAAAAATACAAAAACTTATCTACTTGTATAAGTTTTTTTGTAATATTTATATAGTATTGTTTTTTTATATTAAATTAATTTTTTTAGCTCTTAATTTTTATAATATTATATCATAATAAGATCAAGTTTTTTTTACAATTTATAGAAAGTATTTTTTAACGAAAAGTTTTAGAACAATATAAAATATTTCTAATCTATAATGATTAGTGCTATGCTAAATATGTCTCTATATACTAAAATAAAGATAATTTATTTGATTTTATGTTTTCGTAATTTATATAATACATAGAATAAGTATATATTAAACATTGAATTAAAATTTATTTAAATAATTTAATAAAGTAAATTTATTTAAAAATATTTAAAAAGTTTATTTAAAAATTTAATAAAATGAAATTTAGAATAATTTTGTATTATTAATGTATTAATAAATTTAGATTAATTACAGAAATAATATAGCAATTAAAATAAATTAAATTAATTATACAAATAATATTGTATTTAACTATACTATTGTATTAATAATATTATGAATTATATATATAATTAAAATATACATTTAATATACATAAAATTTTTATATATATATATTAAAACAATACGTTATCGCGTTGAATAAGTATAAAATAGGTTCATTGTTGTAATTGAAATGTTTTTCAGATCAATCAATCAAAATCTCTAAACATTCAAAGTATGTATTTTAGTAGCATATTATAATTTATATTGATATTAAATGAAATCATTTTTTTTTTCTAGATTCAACGGTATCACAGCTAAAACAACCCGTTGAAGAAACAGAGCGAATATTAATAGGAAATAGCGACCGATCAAAGAGATTAAGAGGATTACCGTTGTTTCATCAACGAACAGCACAATTAACAGCAAAATTAAAACCCAAAGGTTCTTTACTGTCAACAGCCAAGCCTTCAATTAAAAAACAAGTACTGAAAAAACCATTATGGTTTAACTCAACTTGGCGAAAGTCTTCATTAATAAATAAAAAAAATATAGTAAGTTTAAGTGCAGTTAACAACGATGGTGAAAATTCTGAAAATGGTGAAGAAAATGTTGAAAATAAGGAAAGTGAGAGTAATGGAGGTAGTGGAGGTGAAGAAGTTGATAGTGATTCTGAAAGTTCGGAAAATGAACAAGAAAAGGAAAGTAATACAGATGGTGTAGTTGAAAAGTCAAATAACGATTCCGAAGATACTGGAAGCGATGACGAAAGTGACAATGATGCGGGTGGTGGCGACGAAGACACAGATAGTAGTAGCGAAACTACTGAAGACGAAGGAGTTGGGAATCACGTAAATGGTGGAGATAAAGATGATGATGAGGGTTTCGGAGGAGCTGATAATGAAGGAACAAATCAACATTATGCAAGTGGAGCTGGAGGTGGAAATGCAGCTGGTCGAGGTAATGATATTGTCGATAATAATGTTTATTAATTGTCTGATAATTGTCGATAAATATACAATAGATGACGATGGAGAAAATGATGCAGATAATGACAATGAAGGTGCAAATGTTGGAGGCAATGGAAACAGACATAATATAGGAGGCTCTGGAGGTGGTATAGGAGGTAATGGTAATATAGGTGGTACAAATGGAAATGTACATGACTCTGCTTATGAAACTGATAATACTGAAAATCAATATGATACTGGAAATGCAGGTGGTACAAATGCACAATCTGGAATGGGTACGGGAGGTAGTGGATATCGACCAAATCCTGGAATAACCAGTGGAGGGTATCAAGAAACTAATGGAAGATATCAAGGAAATACTGCAAACTATGAACCAACTAATGAACAGTATAGAGTAACCAATGGACCTTATGGAGTCACTAGAGGAAATTATGAATTAACTACTAGGGGATATGGAGAAAATAATAGATGGTATGGACCACGTAATAATAGGTATAGAGAAAACAATAGATGGTATAATTCAGGTGATAGAAGATATAGAGGAGGCAATAGATGGTATAGAGGAGGTGATAGATATTATAAAGGCGGTGATAAATGGTATGGACAAGACAATAGAAGGTATAGACAAGGCGATAGGTGGGATGGTCGCAGGTATGGAATGGATGGCAGAAGACCATACGGACCATACGGACAGGCAAACTATGTGGGCAGGCAAAATATGAATGGCGCTTTTGCGTATGTAAATCCTGGCCAATCTCGATATCAAAGAAATAATATGAACCGTTATTCAAATCAAGCACAAAGAAATGGAAAACCTACTCTAAAATTTATTTTAAAAGGAACAGTCGTTATGCCAAGAACTACTAGACGTCAGTATAGAGGTAGGAGAACGATGAGAAGGCCAGTTTATTATGCAAATCCAAGAACACCTCCAAGAAAATCAAATCAAGTAGTATTGGTAAAGCCAGTAATAGTAGTAAATCCTGTAATAAAACCAGGTAACCGACCAAGACCTTCAACACAAGGAAGACCATTTGGTTATAGATATTCACAACATCCATTAGGACAACAAACACACCACTATTATAATTATCCACATCCTCAACATCCATCTGCGCCACAAACACAACATCATTATAACTATCCACATCCTCAACATCCATTTGCGCAACCAACACAACATCATTATAACTATCCACATCCTCAACATCCATTTGCCCAACAAACACAACATCATTATAACTATCCACATCCTCAACATCCATTTGCGCCACAAACACAACATCATTTTAACTATCCACATCCTCAACATCCATTTGCGCAACCAACACAACATCATTATAACTATCCACATCCTCCACATCCGTTTGCGCAACAAACACAACATCATTATAACTATCCACATCCTCAACATCCATTTGCGCAACAAACACAACATTATTATAACAATCCATATACGCAACAATCACCGGATAGACTGAGACGACCAAACTTTAACTATCCATATCACTATCCAGTACAAGAACCAATAATGCAAAGAACGCCATATTCTAACTACAAACGTGTGCTGTCAGAACCAATAAAACGAAGAGATGAACATGGTAATTACCAATATTCATTGGAGCATGGAATGGAAGGAAGGAACCCATCATATACCTATCCATACTATCATGCAGAAAGACTAGAATCAAGGAACCCATATAGTACCAATCCATCTCATCAAAATGGTCGTAAAGCACGGGGAAAACAATATTTCGACGATCCATATTATCACAAAAATCAAAAATATCACAGAATTCCAATTGAAAACTATGATTATCAATCAGAAAACTCAATAGCACAATCTACACCATTAAATAATATCTCATCTTTACCACCAAAACCTGTAACGCGAAAAGATTGCCTTTATGGTGCCTGCGTGCGGGCAGTACAGAAAGTCATACAACCGCTAAAAACGATAATACCAAAAAAATCCTTTCGTTTTTTCTCATCAGCGTCAAAAAAAGTCATATACTAGGAACAACGTCTCGTGATTTTTCGTCTGTATAATAGCCACAAAAGAATTTTCAATCTAAATTATGAAAACAGCAAGATCATTTTAGTAAATTGCACGACAAAACTATTTATTACACGGCAAAATTATTAAATTACTAAAATGAAAAAAATCATTTTGTGCTTTTTTATTTTGATAAAATCAGAAAATAAAACCTTTTCAAAATTTATCAAATAAGATATATAAAAGATATATGCGTTTGAAATTATTACTAAAAAAAGAAAAAAAAACAGCTATTAATTCTCAATTCTATGAGCGTAAAACAATAAAAAGAGATATGAATTTAGTAACATCTATGAAAATATAGTAAGCCTCACTAATATATTATAAGAACATCAACATTAGTGCAGCTAGTTTTTATTAATATCCATGTAAACAATTAATTTACATAATTTAATATTGTTTATCTTTTTGTAATAGATTTGTTTATTATAATATATCATTCATTATATGATATATTTTTTAGATCATACCGTTTTAAACTTTTTGTATTTTCCCACACGTTACTTGTATTTTCATTTGTCTTTCTAAAACCAGTTACAAATATATATTAAATTATTTAGAAATTTTTCTATATGAAGGTAAATAATTTATCTAAGGATATAATATTTCCTAACTTCATGACATTTTAGATGATAAAAAATTTCATACGAAATGAGTAATTTCTGTTAATATACAACCATACTAAGAATAAAATGACTATTATGAATTATTCGAAATTCGAAATTCTATTGCTGTAAATAAAATTATTCTAAATATAACACACACGCACACACACACATACACATGTATATATATATGTATAATATTTGTTTGAATAATGATTATCATCGAATTAATAAAGAGAAATATCTAATTATTTTACTAAATATATAATATAACTTTTGGTATTTTGCATATTTCACGAATGTTTGAAATAACTTATATATTGAAATTACTGATATTATTTATTTAGATATTAATAAGTTATAATATACAAATCTATAATAAAAATAATCACAAAAGAAAATAAACATTGTACTTAATGAAAATATCCTATTTAGAAAAAAAAACATACCAATATCTTTTAAGTATATTTAATTTAAATTATCATCAAAAATAATGAGTTAATATTAATTTATATTTTTTTTTTGTTGTAATAATTGGGGATTTATTAATAAATAAAGATATTCAATACTATAAATTTGATAAACTTTTTTTTAAATTTTTTAATGTTATATATTTGACTTGCATGTTCAATGCAAATGTAGCATTAACTTTATCAGAAAACTAGATTTTTTATTTTCGAACGTTATTTAATGTTGTAATAGTTGAGTACCTAATAATTTCATTGATAATTACTCAGTTGTTGTTATTCTGCAGCAATTGATTATCTTTTATGAAAATGATATGATGTTATTGATAAAAAATTAAGCTTATATTTTTCCGTCATAGATTTTCGAGATAACAACTTCTTTAATTTTTCTATAATAACTTTGTTGATATATAGTGATTATCTTATAATTTATTTACTTATAATTTATTATAAAACATAGAATATAAATTTATAATAATAATTTTCATGTGCAATTTTCTGAATTATCTGATAATATATTTATTATTGTAGAATACAGTATAATATTATAGAATACATAATTCTAAACTCAAACTAAACATTTTAGAATAAAATTTAAAATTAATATCCTATATGAGTAATATAGTTATTATTGTTATAATATAATAACATAATGCTTTTATAAGCATCAAAAAATGTAATGTACGTGGAATATAATGATAATACTAATTTCATTTTCATTAGATAGTAAATTAATAAAACTTACGGATTTAATTTATTACTTTTGACAAAATACATTGATCTAATATACTTCGACGTACGAGTGTATTTATGAATATTTTTTTCAATTCACGATGTGCCTAATCGACAAATAAAATTTAATGCACTACAAAGCTATAAGCACAATTTATTAATATCATATAATTCCACATTTCATTAAAAAAAGTTAATATCTCAGTTTCTCAATATAAATGAGAAAACATTCGTACTCAAAATATAATCGCCTTCAGTAAATTACGTTGATAATTGCGTATTCCGAGCCCGGCAATTCTTTTTGCACGATTGTAACGCATTGAAAGCTGATGTTCCTGAATATTATTCACGGTCAAAAACTAATGCTGTTGTCCATTCAAATACCAATACAACACACCAACATAATATTCTTTCATTACAAAAAACAATGATGTGTGTATAACCCCGAGGCCGTATACAAATGGAAAAGTTGAACGAATATTGCAGACGATTCATCAATATTACATTTTCAATATTAAGGTACTCACTCGTAGGGCGACATTCGTTAAAAAAAAAAATTATTTTATTTAAATTTTATTTAAATTACAATTAATAGTATTATTATATGTTTTAGTAATTATGAATATTTTATAATCTGACAAATTAATATTCCCGTACACTTATTTCATAAGTAATAAACAGTTATTGATAATTCTTTATTAATACGGCATCTTTCATAAAATTACTACATATATAACGTTAAATATTATAAACTCTATTATTATCATTATGTATGACCATTTGTCAAATGTCATAATTTCTATTATATTTAATACAATTGCAACGATAATATAAAAATAATTTGTTTGTTATTATCTATATTACTGGAACTTTTTTTTATTATTATTATAAACTATGTTTTACAACAAAAAACTATAGTTGCTAAATTTTAGAATTATTTCAAGACGATAAAAAAATATAATATTAATACAATGAAATTTAATTATTAGCAATGTAATATAGTCTCGCGAGTGATTGAGAATAGTACTAAATTTTATTAAAATAGTAAAATTAAATTTATTAAATAATAAATGTACGTAGTTTTTTTAATGCATAATTTTCAAACTATTTATATAAACGCAATTTTTGTAAGAAATTTTAACAATAAATTACTTACACATATTTTGCAAATAATATTAAAAAATTATTTTATTTATTTTATTTGAAAATTGTATAAATTAATTAATTAGATAAAAAGGAATGTTATAAATTTATAGATAAATGAATTTATTAACCTTAATAAATATACGAAATATAATGTAGAAAGAGTTTAAAGGTAGTATTACTGAAATAGTAGACGAATAAGAAACAGATAGATAGATAGATAGACAGAGAGAGAGAGAGAGAGAGGGGGGGAGAGAGGGGGGGGGGAAGTACAGGGAAAATAAAAAGATAAAATGAAGGGAAAGAAGAGAAAAATGGAAGAAGCGTAGATTTGTTTTAACAAGGCTAATAAAGCTTATTCGGTAAACATTCGACAAAAAATATTAGTTACTTATGATGCGGTAATTTATATCTTTTTTCCCACATCCATCTACGAAGAAAAAGAGAGAATGAAATAAGGTAATAATCGTTTCCTATATGAGGAGGCGTTTATTTTACTGAAAAATAGGAGGAGAGACTGAGAAAGATATAGAGAAAGAGACAAGCCAAACGAGAATAATGATGATTTGAAAAATTAGATAATTTTCGAGAAGTTCGAATGAAACGCGAAACTGAAAATTAATATCTTTACAACTTAATATTGAAAACATGTATGTATAATATACAATATTGCAAATCTTTATTGACCAAATCAATTTATTTAACGCTTTAATCTAAATGGCAAATTTGCGTAGGCGCGAAATTTCGGAAGCTACATTGCTACTGTGACCTAAACTTATACTTTATACATATCAATAGCTTTTTTACTCAACAGGAGGTCTCAAAATCTGACACTTTTTCTAAGATTTTTGCATTACGTGGCCAACATAATATATAGAGAAATTCGCTCAGACCGCGCCAATTTAAGAATTCTTGTATAGCTCGTTATTGGACTAACCGAGAGTGAAAGAACCCTTTGCCGATTTCTACATTTCGAGCGTTTGTTAATCTTCATTAAGATACGGCTGTCTTTGCTCACATGGACAGAGAGAGAGAGAGAGAGAGAGAGAGAGAGAGAGAGAGAGAGACCTTTTAATCCTCGCTCGCGTGATTTATCTGATCGAGCGATAGAGAAAGAAGTCGCGTGTGAGTTGACCCGATAGTTAGATATGAGATACGAATGGTCACCGACACGTTCGAATCGATGATATTGAAAGAGCCAATGAATGGCCCAAGGTCTTAATTAAATAGTTTCGGCCTGACCAACTGAGCGATCGTTAGATATGATCTGTTATTTTCAATGAAAACGACGGCAATGTGGTACAGGATATCTAGATTTCTGTCTTAGTAGAAAGAATGTTGGTAGCTAAAGTAAGATATGAGGTAAAGTGATATCGACTCTGGATATCGGTTTATGTATGATTTATTTTATACGGTTATCGTTATACGAATATTTGTTATACGTAAGGCAAATTTATTATAAATAAACATTTATTATAAATAAAAATTCGTGACATTTTGGACAGTTGACAAAAATTATTCTTCCAGTTAGGTAAAATTAAATTTATTATTAAGTATTTATAATTGAACGATTGAAATTAAGTTAGATTTATAAATGGATAATATCAACTTTAAATACCTACTTGTATGTATTAAAGCTAAAGTTTAATTATACATTAAGAATTATGAAGAAGAATTATTTTAATATTCAAAGTCCTTTTTTTATTAAATTTTGTAGTATTTAGATATTAATATGAATGATAATAATTATTTTGTGCATTTCTTTAAATACTAAGCATATATATATATATATATATATATATATATATATATAGACAGAAATTAATAATAAAGTATTTAAAGCTAAATTTTATGGTTGATATAAAAACTCCGACAGATAGACAGAACAAAAAATATCCTATTTAATTGTTTGCCTTTATTATATGTTTATTTTGAAAGTACAATTGTACTTTTAATTGTGTCATATCATTGTTTTTATTCTAAAATTATATATTCATTATGTAAGTTTATAATA